AAATTATTTGCAGTATAAAAATCGATTTCTTTTTTCTAAAAAATAATGTATTTACATTTAATATTATAGTTGTATAGTCGATCCCAATAACCGTTATCAAATCAAAATCGATTATCTATACAATATTATTAAAAATTTTACGCAATATATTTCTTAATTCATAATAATTAATTATTACATAAACAAAATAACAAATTTAATGACACAATATATTGTATATTTATAATAAATAATTCAATTCGTAAATAGTGAATGAGCACTGCGAATACCGTATCATAAATGTAATTGTATCATCATAAGTCATTGAGAAACGGTTGTTACATGGTCAGAGGCCTCAGATAAGAAAGTCAAAGTAAGAGTAGGGATGATAATGTTGCGTGCATGCTGCCCGGTATGCTCTCGAACTCCGAGCTGAAGTGTGCAACGTGCCGTCTTTCCGTCAAGATGCAAAACATCCTTAGCAACGAGCTGTATTGATTTTAAACAACAATTGACGGATTTTGTCTTGAGCTGCTGGACCGTTCAAACATGTGTCCGCGCTCTTCTGTATCGCGACGATAATAAACGCTGAGTTAAACCGCAGTGTTTCCTTTATTTCCGCGAGCGTCGGGAGTGCGAGCGCGTGAGTGTCTGTGTGTGATTGAGCGACGTGGCCAGCGCAACAATAATATATATATATATATATATATATATATGTATATATATATGCGAAACGCACAATTGCTCTGTGTCCCTACTTCTATACGTCAGTCGATATACTGAGTTACTGAGGTTCATCAAGATGGGTATCACAACATCGTGGTTTCGATTATTTATAATAATATTTGGATTGCTTGTACTGTCCTGTCAATGTCGCAACTTGGACAGTAAGTAGAATGGATTACGTTTTTATTTCAGTGTATGCACGTTCTTTTTGGAGTATAAAATATACCGAAGTATCAAATTCTACAAAATGTTTAATAATTATGCCTCTGAATAAATTATTCGATCAACGTACGTTGCATCTTTTATTCGTTATTAATAATTAATTGAACTTTTTTGCAAAATAACACTTAAAATTTCAGGAATATCTGAAAGCGTTAGTAGTGTTTCAGGATACTTTGGGGCATATAAAATCACGTACGTCGCCAGAAATTCAAGCAAAAGCAGCTAAAGATGTCGCGGAAAGACTGCTGGGCAAAGAGATATCTAAAATGTTTATTATGATGCTGGATACCGATTTGGGACCTGTTGGCAAAGATACTTTCAAGGTGCAGTGTTCGTTCTCAAGTGCAAGAACTACACATTTATTTACAAATACCTATTTGCAAAAAAAAATAATCCGGCATTGTTGAGTGACTTCTTTTTTGACAGATAACAAAAAATCCTCTAGGTGAGATCGAAATTCGCGGTACTTCTGGGGTGGCGATCACATGGGGTTTGCATCATTACTTGAAAAACTATTGCAATGTTCATATATCATGGGACGGTACGCAAATTGCGCTGCCAAACACCCTGCCGGAAGTTTACATTAAAGTTATATCGAACGATAGGTGAGAACAAGCGATATTTGATTTGTGATAATCTGATATATCGAATCGCCCATGACATGGCGTATGTATTTACGTTATTCCGTAACTTTACAGATTCAGATATTATCAGAACGTGTGCACTGTGGGTTATAGTTCAGCCTGGTGGCAGTGGCAACAATGGGAAAGAAACATCGATTGGATGGCCCTTAATGGGATTAATCTTGCCCTCGCTTTTACCGCGCAAGAGGCGATCTGGCAAAGACTCTATCAAGAATTGAATCTGACGAAAGAGGAGATCGACGAGCACTTGGGCGGACCTGCTTTCTTACCCTGGTCGAGTGTTTATATTCCCCAAATTTCTCCACGTAGTATTACAATAAAATATACTTATTGCGATAACGTAGGGCAAGGATGGGCAATATTCGTGGTTTTGGTGGACCGTTATCATCAAATTGGCATAATCACACCATACGTCTGCAGCACCAGATTCTTCGGAGAATGAGAGATCTCGGAATCGTTCCAGTATTACCGGCATTCGCCGGTCATGTACCGCGAGGTTTTGCCAGACTTTTTCCAAATGCTAATATGACGAAGATCGACCCATGGAATAAATTTGAAGACAAATATTGCTGGTACGGTCAAAATGATCTGGTTATATTTCGTGCAATTTTCTCTTTCCCAATTGTGATCTTGTTTAAAATAATTTCTCGTTCCGCAAAATATATTTATAACTATATAGCTAAAATGTTGAAAATAGATCAATATTCTCATATTTGCTATCTATCGGATGAAAATATCTCGAATAAAACTTGTGTTTAATTATAATAAAATTAAATCAAATAATAAACTTTCGACTTATCTAAAATAATTGTTATTTTTAGTCCTTATTTGTTAGAACCGACGGATCCGCTATTTCGTATGATCGGAGAAAGATTCCTTCGAATGGTAAGTTAAAATAATTTCGATAGAGATGAATGATGTTCAGAAGTGAAGACATGAAATTTCATTGCTACAGTACATTGACGAGTTTGGTACTGATCATATTTATAATTGCGATACTTTTAACGAAAACGAACCCAGCAACAATGAACTTATCTATTTGAGAAACGTCGGCTACTCGGTTTTCTCGGCCATGAACGCGGTTGACTCTAAAGCGATATGGTAAGTAGGTAAATTGAAGAACAGATAGTTCTCGTTCCTTTTCGACATAAATATTAATTAAATATTATATATATGTACAATATGTATAATATAATAATCATGTTTCTACATCAGATACATCATGTGCGACTTTTCTAGGTTAATGCAAGCTTGGTTGTTCGTGCATGACATTACGTTTTGGACCAAGTCCAGAGTGAGAGCTTTCCTGACCTCGGTACCCACGGTAGGTTCGGAATATTAATAAATATCGATCGTACCTCATTGGCAAGTACGAAGCTATAACGTATAAATGAATAATTTCTGCAAGATACAGTAAATTATCTTTCATGTCTTGTAAATTTACTGTTAACATAATAATGTAATAAATTCAATGTATCTTGCTAATAGGACAAATTTAATATGTAGGACAGAGAAAAACAAGGTACTGATACAAACAAAAAATAGAGAGAATTATTTAAATACATATTTATCTATTTTCTTTCTCATTGATTAAAAAAATATTTTTTGTATATCGGCACATTATGTTATTTTACAACATTTAACTTGCTGGCTTTAAATTGCTGTACTAAAATCAACCGCAGGGACGAATGTTGGTATTAGATCTACAATCGGAACAGTTCCCACAATACGGCCGATTAAAATCATACTACGGTCAACCATTTATTTGGTGCATGCTGCATAATTTCGGCGGCACCTTGGGAATGTTTGGCTCCGCGCAGATCATTAATCAGGTATATTAGAAATCTATGTTGTCCTATATGTCGCTTCAGTTCTTTTTAAGAGACTAAGAATATGATTGCCTTTCGCTACTTGCATTGTTATTTGCATCGCGTGCCAAGATGTAAAAGAATTATTTCAAAACTTTAACATAATCAATTCTTTTTCTTTCAAACGTATCTTGACTTTTATAATTTTATAAAAGATATAATTCTATACCGCTTACAAAATGTTTTGAATTAAAAAAATAAATCTTTTTCTTATGCCAAGCATCGCGACACAAACGTGATTAAACGATCGCATACCTTTTTTCAATATTTAATCCTTCACAAATACATAATTTGCTTAATATTTTATATCTTTATTTAATAGTCAAGAATTATAATCAAGAATGAATTCAAGAATCTTTTGATAATAATAATGAGAAGCATTAAATTCTGGAGCATTAAAGAATGTCCTATCACATAGCCATTAGGATAATGAATTGGGTAGAACATAGATTGCAGAATAATCAGTCAACTCTTTCTTTCAGCGCACGTTCGAGGGTAGAAACATGAATGGCAGTACCATGGTGGGTACCGGTCTGACACCCGAGGGTATCAATCAGAACTATGTAATTTACGAACTGATGAACGAAATGGCGTATCGTCACGCGCCCGTCGACCTCGACAATTGGTGAGGACGCGCTTCTCATGTAATTCAGAAACAGTAGATGCGACGACCGGTTTTCGTTGAAGAAGTGTCGTCCGTCTTACCGTGTCTCGATAATCTATCGACAGAGTCGGCGTCTAATTCGCGATTAAAGCGAGGTTACGCAAAAAGCTGCTTAAGCTCGTTTGATCGATTAAATTGATACGACAAGAGGATTATTGTGATCGGCAGGTTCGAAAGTTACGCTACTCGAAGATACGGCGCATGGAATGAATATGCGGTGGCTGCTTGGCGACACCTCGGCAGAACAGTTTATAATTTTATCGGCACGCAAAAAATCAGAGGGCATTACGTTATTACCAGACGGCCGAGTTTAAATATTTCATCATGGGTAGACACATATATTAATAATCACAACTGATTTACGATCGTTATAGGATTATATAATTGGATTTCCAATAACGCGACAGGACATAAATGCAAAAGCTCGTTTTCATTTTAACGAGGGACAATTAAACGAATAATGGAAATTGGTAAAAATTACGGGGACGTTGGGAGAAAAATTATTCGAATTAATTACATTATTTAAATTGCGTATCAACATTAAATTAAATTATGACATAAAATGATTTCCTTTAATGCAGATCTGGTATGATCGGAAAAATTTTTATTCTATGTGGAACGTATTTCTAAAAGCGAGATATGGTAGAGGGAATAACACTCTCTACAGGCATGACGTGGTTGATATAACCAGACAAGCTCTCCAACTAATGGCCGACGATATCTACGTGACTATATTAGACTGCTATAACAAAAAGAATATCACTGCTTTTCGGTGAGTATATTGATACAATGTCAATATATTTCACAATTATATAGACGCAATATTTTTTTAACATTTCTAAACACAGTTTAAAATCGAATATTAAATACTGTAACTTTCTAAGAAAGAAATTAGAGATAGGAAGAGAAAATCGTTAAAATATGTAATTAATATCATAAAATAAAAGTATAATAAATATCTTTTAGTACGTAATTAACAGCTAAGTCTGTTAAGTGTTTCGTTTAGTCAGTACATAATCCATTGTTACATGAGAATTCGCAATATGTATTTGAAAAATGCTTTACAATTTTATAATAACTCCATAGATCGTCCGCGAACGCTCTGTTGGAATTGTTCGACGATCTCGAATCTATTCTGGCGTCAGGAAGTAACTTCTTGCTGGGCACCTGGCTAGCCCAGGCAAAAGATATGGCCGTCGACGAAGAGGAGAGACGATCTTATGAATATAATGCAAGAAATCAGATTACCTTGTGGGGCCCAAATGGCGAGATCAGAGACTACGCCAACAAGCAATGGTCGGGAGTGATGGCAGACTACTTTAAGCCTAGATGGGAGCTTTTCCTAAAAGCCCTCGAGAAATCACTGGTCCAAAGAACCGAACTCAATCTCACTGAGATTAACGACAGAATATTTCACGAAATCGAACAGCCTTTCACTTTTTCCACGAAGGTTTATCCGATAGAGACAAAAGGTATTATAACTTTTTAATTTCGATTTTCCACGAATGTTATATCAATCATTTTTATTTGACTAGCAGAGTTCTTCGTTACTCTATTTCTCCGGTTGTTCTAACAAGTGCATTTAATTGCTTGCACTGTTTTGCATCAATTTTTTTGTGGATTACAATTCAGAATTATATCCATGTTCCGTTTGTTTTATAAGATTATTGAAGTACAGTCTTTACTTATAGCAAAATATCTATAAAAAAAAAATAGTACAAAATATTAGTTTACCGCAACATTTAGAAAAAATTAAAGTAGCAAATAAATTTTTAAATTTATTTTTTATTAACTTTTCGAGAATCTAATCAATTTTATTTGCTCTCTTTTCAGGCGATACTATTGACATAGCAATGAAAATAATTTCCAAGTGGTTCAAAGGAGAATCAGCATCATCATCATTATCATCATCATTAAAATCATCAAGTATAAAGACATGCTAAAAAGAGATCTTTTTTCTTTTTTTATCTAAATAAGATAAAAATTATATTTCAAAAAATATATCCAACGACATATAATATATAATAAATATGTTTAATAAATATATATTCTAATATTAATAAAATTGTTTTCAGTGAGGTCATACTATAAATACGCATTTCCTAAGCTTTCACATTTACATTTATTGAATAAAAACATTTAGAAAGTTCAGTATCTTTCTATGATCCATAAAGATATAATAAAAACCTTTTATTTCATTAAAAAAATATATTTTTTTATTGCAATGTTCGAAACCTTTATTTCTAAAAATTACAAGAACGTTGCAACTGTTTTAAAAAAATTAGAGCGTATAACGTAACGGAAACAGACGTCTCAGATCCATATTGAGCGCACTGGCAGGATCGTCGAGATCACGCAGCGCCTGCGACGTCCTCATCTTTGCGTCGTCTCTGGTGAGCTCGTTCCGCTCTACCACCTTCTCTAACAGCTGCTTCAGCTGCGGTCCGACGCCACCCTCGGCGGATGACTGCAAAATTTTCAAAATATCATCCGTATAGCCAGCATACCGCGCGAATCCTTGCTTCCGCGCGTCTTTGCTGAGGGAGTCATAAAGGTTCGCCAGTTGTTGAAGAGCCGGCTTAGACGGCACTTTGGAACGCTTTAAGTACTGATTCAAACTTGGACGCGGCACTTGAGCTACTCTCTCGCCAAGTAAACAGAATCTGTAGCGACAAAAGCAAAAAAAAGCTTTATTAAATGTGTGTGTGTTTTTTTTAATGCTTTTTGATACCAGTATTTGCGTACTGTTGTGCTTTCTCTTTCTTTTAAAGCTATGGCACTTAGATTAAATTGTTCTTTTTATATTTAATTATACAATATACATTCTACTCATTTTTATTTCTAAAAATAAAAATTAGATACTTTTAGATGTAAATGCAATGTATATAAAGTTTTTTTTTTAAATAGAACCATATATATATACAAGATTCTATCCTTGAATCGTCTTCCTTACATATGTAATAATTATAATTTTATAATAAAAACGTTATCACCTGGTTTCTTCTTCTTCGTCCTCAATTTGCTCCGACTTTTCAATCGATGTCCCCACACTTTTCGACTCGTCGCTACCGTCAGATTCCTCGCTAAATAAGGATGTGGTTGTCCTCACGATTCCGTGAATTTTATCCACGACGCTGTCGACGGACGGTTCCGTCTTTTTCTGATCATCCGACACTTGCGTGACAGAAGCCTGTGTCGATTGTTGTTGCGATACAACGTCGTGTCGCGGAGTTTGTGTTGTCGATACTTCGCCGGAGGAGCGTTCAGTATTTGATGATTTTTCGGCGCTCTCCTCCGAGACTTCTTGATTCGGTTCTTGGGTCTCCTGTATGGGCTCCGGTAATTCGTGATTCGTTTCCGGAGTGGCCGGTAATTCGTAATTCGTTTCAGTCGTCTCTTCGTTCACTTCAGGTGTCTCTTTATGGTAATTATCGGATACAACGCTCGCTGTCGAAGTTACGAAGAGTTGAGCGATTTCTGTCGAATCGTCGTAAATCTTAGATGATCCTTGACTCGATACCTTATTCGCCTGAGTCGAAGTTAATACCATGGGAATATCTGTCTTCTGGTCATGGACTTTCGCGGTCGTAGCAGTTGGAATTATGGAAATTCCCTGAGGTGTCGTCGATTGCGGTTGCTGATCTTTCATCGACTGGGTCGTCGATGTCGGCGAGGCAGTTACTGTCTCTAACTGCAATAATTCTTCCGCTTGGAGCAGCTTCAATTGCTCGACCGCGTGGAAAATTACCTGATTCAGAAATGGATCATATAAATGGACTATCAATATTATATATTTTTCAAAAACTTGATGTATACAACATTTTACTGAAGTAAATAAAGATATAAAGATAAGAGTATACAGAATCCATATAATACTTTTACACCATTTTAATAAATTTTATTTTGTTATACTATATTAGATTAAAATTTATAAGAATTATATAAGACTTATTCAAATTTTTAATGTTTATACTATTTATAAAAAAATATAAAGTTAATAATAATATCTATCGCTACTAAAAATAATTAAAGCAAAGAGAAAATCAAATATGTATGATAACATGTTAACGAAGAAATATAAACACATAAAATATTTACGGATTGTTACGCGTGAGACAAGATAAAATATCGCAATTATATACGCAAGAAAACCTGATATGTTCAGAATTTCTTATCAAATTTAGTAATGAAGTAATGACTCACCTGCATGGCAGCGGGGAGATACGAATTCGAATATACTGGTGTTGAAAAGGCCGGCGGTTTCCTAACGATTCCGGCGATAGCCTGAAGGAATAAGGAATTTTAATTAACATTTCCGCTAAAGCACGCGAATACACGTAGTTCTCCAAGCCGTTAGACGCGATTATAGCTGTATAAGCGGGTATTTAAATCATTAAGCATAAATTAAGCGAGATTTATTACTATTTACGTTAAATATTAATGTTAATATTTACAGCGCAAAATTGTGCAAAATTAATATTACAAGTTGGATCAAGAATAAAATTTACATTTTTCATATAAACATCTTAATTTTTGTTCAAATTATGTAATAAATTTTGGTTATGATAACGCTTTCATATTTTCGATATATTGAGGTATAAAAATAATTATTTTCTGTAATTTGATATGCAGCAATGCCGCTAAATAACTCAATATCTCACTAATGCGAATATTAAATGTTAAAAACATATCGTAATAATAAATATCACTTACCTGCCGAAGAATCATTATCACCATCAAACTACATAATATCTTCATGACGAGTTATTTCCTTTATCAGTCCAAAATAATTTCCACGTCTTCAAAATGCACCTTGTAAAAGTTCACGAATTTGTTATACTCTTTAGCATAATAAGCTTATCACAATTCAGTAACGAGAATCACTAAAAAATTTTAATGCCTAAAACTATCAAAATCGATGTAAGATGTATCACACTGACCTTGAAAAATCTCAAATCGAGATAAAAAATGATATTCGTGAACAATTCTGAAACCACTCAAATTAAACAATTTGAATCTGAAATATTTTTAAATTGTTTTGCGAGAAAATATATTTCCGAAGGTTTCAGACGACCGCCTAGAAATCCACGATTTTCACGGACTATGTCGAGGTTCGCAGGCGGCCGTTGGGACAAGACTGGTCTCGAAAAGACTCATAACGGTCCCGGGTCGTCCTCGGCGTCGCGCACCTCTACACTCTTACGCGATCGCATATGTAAACGAGCGGGTCCCTATACAGGATTGTTAATTGCGTGACGAGCCGGCTAGGCGCACATGCGGCCGCGAGCCGGTGTTTATTGGTGCCGATGGGTAAATCACAGCATGATGCCTAAACTAAGCCATCATCCGTATGCCATCCACGTTTCGCGACGCGGAGTTGACGTACTTTCCGCTATGCATTCGTCCTCGATCTCTCTCCAACTGAAATATACGGTTTATATCAGGAACTGTGCATATAATTAGAATTGCATACACGGACTGTTGGAATAATATACCTACTAAAGCAACATTATCCTGATCAAAATCGTAACAATGTCAACAGCTTTTTAAGTTACAATTAATTAAACATTTAGAAAATTTTGCAAGATATGCTTGGAAAATAAGAAAATTAGAAATAATAAAAGTTTTGGATTCCTTGTCCAGTTTTAAGGCGAATTTAATATTTATGATAATGTAATTATTTAATTGCCTGAGATATTTAATAAATTGCAAATAAACTTATTAACCACTTTTGAAGATAATTACTATTTGTGCAAAGCCAATGTTTAGCAAAATAGCAAAAACAAAAAAGCTAACACTACTTTTACGTAGTGAAAATATGTATTCGCACTCTGCGCATGTATGTACTATTAACGCTGATCTATAATCCAGTTATTCCTATAGCTGTATTCGCTTCTTCCATTTTCCATTTTAATTAACTCCGAGGTTTAATAACTCAATCACTTCACCCTTCCGAGCGACAGCATTGCGCTTTTTTGTTGCATTCTGTCGTTTTAACTTTTCCTTTATGGCACAAAACCAATTTTTTTGCCAAGTAAGCTACTTCGATTAAAACCGATTTAAACACAGTGAGATCAACGCAAAAATTACAAGACTTTCAGATCACAATATCATATTAAACTTCTTGTAACCAGAAAGTTTAGTTTTTTTTTTGGTGTCTCCTTTATAATTTTTTTATAATCTCAAAACTTTTGTTTAAATCTTTAAAAACTTCTGTACGTTTTCTCAAGCAGTCATTTTTACATTTCGGATACATGTCATCTCTACTTTAAATTAGCCATGAATCGATGGAGTTTCGATTTTCGACCTTCACAACGATTTCGCGAGAACGGTCCAATAAGAGTAAAATTTCTCGGCCGAAAACAACTCTTTCAAGGAGAGTCGGTCACGGCACTTCGTCCCAGAACAATCGACAAAAATGACCCGACCGGTTTTTCGAGCGACTCACGTATCATTCTGTTCGCGACTTCGAAAATGTCGTTGCCTTATTAAAGACTGCTCTGTTTTCACGAAATTCGCGCGATTTCATAAAAAACAGAGTCTCATATCTCTTGTGTTCCGCGAATTAAAAATATTTCGTATTGACAGCAAAAGTTGATTCTGACATGATAGAACAGGCAGCTAAAATAAAACATTCTTTTTGGGTTAAAAACTTATATTGCAACAAAATACCAATATTTAATATAATAACATGTATTCGTTAAATATTGCGTGGTTATTAAATTGTTAAGTAAAAATAATTTTTATTTTACTCATGCAGTTTAACAAAATACAAAGAAATTTCTTCAATTTTTGCTATTCATTATTGTACCAGACGTCTTGTTCCTATCGTTAAAATACATTTGTGCATGTCATAAGATAAGACACAACTATATTATCCAAGTCACCAGTTCGCTTCGCTGTTGTATTTTCAATCAGTTCAGCATGTCATTTTGGTGCAAGGTTGATACGAACGTTGTAAAGTCAACAAAAACAGCGTTCAGTATTCATACATTGACTTTTCTCAGAATGTGTGCAATTTACTGATATTTTTCTTCGTGCATTATTATTAAAAGAGAGAAAAATTGTCGAGCTAACGATATTAAAAAACCTATCGAGGCAATTTCAAATAATATCGTGTCGCAATTATATATAGAATATTCAAGTTTAATGATTGAGTAATGACCGCGTACACCAAATGTTTATTTTCATCGAATCTGGGACTGCGTACCGCGCAATAACGGGAGCATTTCTCTTCGCGATTTGTTACTCAACGAAATACATTTCATGATTGCGACTTGACGTCTGCCGCTATAACACGCACATGTGGGCGCCCTTATGCGATTATATTCTGCTTATTACGCGTGAGACGGCATATATAAACGGTGTTAAAGCATATATACGATGTGTTGCTCGTGAATTCTAACCGGTATACTCCGTATCGCGAGAATAAGTTACGTAGAACACCGTCAGAGCTTCTTCCTTACCACAATATTCTATCTAATGATGGCAAAAGCGACAAGATTTATGTGTCTGTTACTTGCGGCGGTAAGACATTAACCCGTAAATCTCAATAATTTGCCTTAAAACTTGACAGCATATCATATGGACCTCTATTAAATTTTTTTGTCAAGATCAATAATATAATTTGTTAATTAAAATAAAGTTCTAAATTTATGACGTAAAGTAAATTAAATTTATCTGTTTTCAAATTTATAATTACTCTCCGTTTTACGAATAAATATGAAAGTTTGTACTGTTTAAAATATTTATGAGTTGAAAAACGTTTTCTCTAATATAATTTTAGGTTCATCTAATTTTATTACATTACATTTAAAACTGCTTTTATCATCTATTTTATCATATTTAAAGCTGCTTTTTGAGTTTAATGGGCACGTGCTTGATATTAATGACATTGTCGATATATGCAGGCATTATATTAAGTATAAATTAACTAACTCTTCGATAATGTGCTATCGTGCAATAATAAAAGTAAATGAAAATTTCTAAAGGCTGCAATAGCGCAGGCGAAACCGCTGAATCCATCGATCGATGAATCCATCAATGAGATCGATCATGATAACGCGAATCTGCAAAAAAATCCATTCGGATTGAAGAAACAGCAACGGAATTCTGCTTTGCCGACTAACGAGGCATTAATAAAGGCGACCACGCAAATTGATGCTACAAACTCGGCAGCTGGTACCATGATCGACACAACCGTACAGTCCGTAAGCGTCTCTTTGTAAATTAATATTAAAGTCAGAGTACTCAGAATTTAGATTGCAACCATTCCGTGAGATAGTGACGTCTCACGGCTCCATTCCACTAATTAATTATATTTTTAATGAGTATTGTTGATTTCTACTTTATTTCAGTAATTGGATAGCTTTATTCGCTAATTTCCTTTGCAGAAATTACTCGTCATCAATTTGGCTCATTAACTAATTAATTAAAATCAATCTGCCGCATTCAATTATCAATTAACATATTCAATAATTAAGATTATATACGTAATTATAGCATTAGTATGTCTATGGTATTAGTATGCCTAGTTGAAATACGACAAATTAAATTGATAACAAAGTTTATATAGTTTTTCCTTATACTGAAAAACTCTCTTCATATATATATATTGCAAGTAACATATTCTCGAACTAATTAACTTCACAAATAAAAAAGATTCTGTGTAACTTCCGTAGTTTCCCTTCGTATCAAGAAACCATGTTATACAAATGCACTCGAAAAATACTGACGTAAAATCAACTTTTTCGGCAATTAGTTCAAGGAAAATTCCACAACAAAACCGGGTCCATTCTCTTGGTTCCTGACACCGTTAGCGCAAAAAATACAGTTTTCACCATCATTCCTGCAAGATCGCCTGTTATTTTTGAAAGAGGCGCTAAACCATCTGGGCATCAACGTGCTACAAAACGTGACAGCGAAACAGCTAACTGCACCCACCGGTTTGGTGCATTTCTTGGGTCCGACTGACTCTGGTTTCTATACGAATCGGCTGGAACCGGCCGGTTTTCTGGGTGGTAACGGCTGGTTCGCCAACAAGGGCGGCATTCTAGGCGGACCGGGAGCTATAGTCTCCACCGGCAGCCTCCTCACAGATTATCCAACTGCTTACAGAAAGAAATAGGACGACCTATCGTTTATTCAGACCGTCTGTAAATAATCAAAGAGCGAAAACTGCGCTTTTGCATGTAATATAGTTCCGATTGAGCAAGTGTTTTGAAAATTTCAGATTTGTCAAGTAAGTCACTTAATGTCGCAGATTCATCATCTTACATTTTAATCGAGACTTCAAGGAGCAAAAAGCAGTGATATTAAAGAGCGAAAAGCAGTATTTTTTCCATAGCTTCTGTAAGAAATTACTAGTGAAAAGCTGTGACGAATTAAGCTTGAGAAATGCAAATAGATGATATTAAGTAAATTATTCAACTCAAACACTATATAACATTTTTATATATATTTATAATTTATTATTATTATTATTATTTATGTATTCCCGTAATGCAATAAAGCAAATTTGACGAACTAAAGCAAAAGTATCGTGGGATCAGAATCAATTTCTATTTCCTCGCATACTACAAAATAGTTATCAGATGTTATATCGTTAGCGTATATTTTATGCAATTCTTTCGACAGCAGCAACTCGACTCGCGCTCCGAACTTTTAATAAGACGCGATTCTCGAGTTACTAAAGACGAGAGAACGAGGGAGAAAAAGAAAAAATATATTATTAGCCGCGCGAAAAATGTGCAGCAATGCACAGCAATGAAAAGCGCGATGCGTTATTGGAAATGCATAAGATATCCGATATCTCGCGAATTCACAGGGAACGGCTACGCGCTCATCGTACTTTACCGAGTTGGACGCCGCGCAAAGCGGAAGGAATTTCATTTCTGCCAAATTGGGATTCGATCTCTCAAGCCCGGCCGATGGTCGACGGTCTCCGACGATCGGTGTACATACTCCTCTCGTCTACCGTCTACTACTCCCGATGCGATTCCACTACCTGTAATCCGACCATGCTGAAATATCGCCTGTTACACGAGCGATCGCGTGCCGACATCTCCAGAGACGAGGTTTATTAAAACCGATGACTGATTTGTGCGGTTGGTATCGCCGAGGAAAAACGATGCTCGTCACGCATGTTTGAGATGTGTGATAATTGGTAATGTGACCTATACGAGATCAATTTCCCTTGATGCAAAAACTAATCTGATTTTCAAAAGTAATAATAATATAACTTTCAGTCGTGTTCTCTTCATTATTCCAAATTCCAAATTTTCAAACTTTTTATTATGTTCACGCATTGTGTATGTGTGTGTCGGATTTTCTATATATGTTTTTTAAAATTATTATTTTAAATTTATTGTTTCCTAATTTTGCCAAATTCAGGATTGATAACATTTTAATTAAAACAGTTACGTGACGGACGTACATAAAAGTGAATAATAAATTGCGGGAGAATTTCTCAATCGAATTGAAATTCGATCTGTTTAATCCGGTCAGTAGCCATATTCGTCGTTTCCAGTTAAGATTAAATCTGTTTACTGCAATGTCTAGTTCAATACGAAGGAGGAGTAGCACTTGATAAATTGGCAATAATACGCTGCGCCCCGCGCTCGTACGAGCTTGTGTGTAGCTACACCTGTATAAGCAGCCGTGATCGATGAGAGTGGCGACGCAGTTTGCAGCGCCGTGTGTGTCGCTTATAGATTAATTCTGCATGTCGACAGTTTGCCGTCACGCTTTTATTGACTCGTTAATATATGATTACAAATTATGTAAGCTTTTCCTGTTCAAATATTCAAGAATATTTCGAGCGACACGGCTGACATTGAATTGATTAAGCTGTTGCAATTGAAAGTTAATTATTCTAAAAAGACCGTGCATCACGGTATTAATAATATCTGCATTAATCGTCTTCTATCCTGGCTATTTTACGTTGTTTACCTCTACGGTGCGTTGAGAAATTTATTACGTTGCTATATAATTAAGTCGTAACTGGGGCAATGTTAGATGTGGATATACTTAGGAAGTAATCTACGATGCACGCAAATTAAAAGATTTTTATAAGATCTGTAGCTAAGGGGCAAAATGATTACATTGGTATGTAGATCATTCTTGATATAGTTCTCGATAAGATCAATCATTTATTTAAAATAATTTTTTTATCACCTGCACAGTAATTTGCATTTCGTTATTAATAAATGCTCTACCGGAAGTTCCCGATTATCGTCAATAACAGTACGTAACCTTTGAACGCGATTAAAAGTAATATATCAATATACATGTCTTTAATTCAAAATCTACGATACTTTACTAAAAATATCAGTGACAAGTGACTTAAACAAAGTTATTTAAAAAATTAATAACTCCTATACGCGCAAAAGCATAATTTTTAATTCAGAAGCCGACAAAAGATTAGATTTATTAATTGGCTGTTTCCGTTGAGAACTTCGGTTTTCCAACAACTACGTGTACATTGCCCATAAATCGAAGTGTCATTATTAACTATAATATAACTGTGATAACTATTGCGATGGTTGCTACTATTACAATTGCAAAACGAGAACGTGGACAGCTGTGCTGACCAACGTTGTGTGCGTGAATGAAACTTTCCCGAGCCGAGCTCGATTGGAACACGACGAATCGCTAGTGCAGCTCGCGGAACTTTTTAATTAGCGACAACAGAGAGAGAATGTTACAATGGAAAATCCGCGTCGTGTGATTGGACGGGCTTGAAATGGTAATCGATAGATCGTATCCGAGGAAAAGAAATGACGTGGACTATAAACGGACTATAGCCGACTGTGTCCGGTAAATCATGTCGATGTTTCGAGGTTGAGGGAAAAGGCAAGACCATTGAGAGACTCTTTTCGGTATAACGATAATCGCCACGAAGAATTTATACAAGGTGTGTTAGGCAAGGTCTTTCGATCGGCGAGTGGGCGGATTAGCGACCGCCCCGCGCGGCTCACGAAACCGACGATGATCCGCTCACGATCGCCTAGAATTAGGTGGGTCAACGAACGCCCGCGAATCGATGTTCGTGACGTAAATACGCCGCTATTTCGCCCGTAACCTTGAACATAAACTTGAAAACTGGTTTGTCTGCGAGCGAGGGAAATTTTTCGCGCGATATATGTACGTGGTTGACGTAGCGAGGAAAATTTTGCCTTTATATCTTCGCAAAGTTAGCACACCGTTTTCAGAACTTTGAAATATAATATATTTCTATCAATCATATCGCAATCCTGAAGATGGAATATTTCAAACTTTACTTCAGATAGTTGGGTGAGTAAAAAAAACTATAATCAAAAAAGAAAATTATTAAAATGTAATTTAATTATTGTGTAGTGTATAATATAATTAACATTTTATTTAAAAATCTAAGATAATTATTTACTGATAAATAAATTAGAAATAAGAAATGTTTCACTAGTTGATATAAGAATTTTGGAACTTTTTATCATAAAGGTGAAACTTTTCAAACGCTGGCACATTGTGAGACTCTCAGCCTTCAACAAAGTCGAAGACGTAAGTCCTCTCATATATCTCTACAGGTAGTGAGAATTTGCCTGTAAGTACTTTGGGTGCTAAAATTGGGCACAGTCATTAGTTACATAAAAGAGTTTGGCTCAAGTAATTGAGAGGTTTATAAGGCTTAAAACTTTACACTATATAAGAACAATATTCAAAGGTGCATACATTTCTTTTTTTCCGTTGACTCCTATGGTGATTGTTTCAAAGAAGCTGCAGTCATATAAATCAAACGTATAAACACAATAATTATTTCTGTAAAAATAAGCATAATTAAATATAAATGTGTGACTAATTCAATCTTAATCAATCTCGTGTTATAATTTCAGGGGCATATTGCATGACCCTGGAATTACAACACGATCATGAATTTGAGATAAAATTATTGCACCGTAAAATAATTGTACTTTAACAAAAAACTCTTTAATTATCCAGGTGACAAGATCGGCTGTCAATAACACTGTTAATAACGTTAAGCCAACATTGCTCTTTTTAGACAATTATTTTTGTAAGAAGGAACAGACCTTTAATTGATCTTTGGATGATACCGGTCAACTATCAATTACATGGTCAACGACTAGGCTTGCGTTCGCCCTCAACGTTCACGCACCCCCGAGCATCTACGTCGGATCGCGAGTGGGTGTCACGAATGGGGTTTGTCGGGAAGAGGGAGCCGGTGGATTCTGGTGGGGATGGAATAAAATCTCCGAGTGTACGGGGAGGCAGTCCAGTCAAACCAGTCAGTCGACCGAGCGACGCGGGTAGCGACGGTCGATCGTCGTCGATTTCCATTTCCAATCGACTCCGCTCTCAAACTCTCGTAGAAAAAGCCCTGCGAAGGACAGCCGAAAAAGGCGGAGGGGGGTTAGTGATCATGCGTATACGTAGGGAGAAGTAATCTCGCGTCGAGTACGATACCGCGAAAATTCTCGCTCCAAACAACCCTACGACAACGACCAACGCGTATCTCGATCGGCTCGCACCCCTATCGACGCGTCGCGCTTTCAATCGTGAGAAAAAAGGGAGAATCCGTCAATCTGGTCGACTATTCTCAGCCTATCGGTGTCCTCGGCGAAGGGCACTCTTTCTTTGCTGAAAGGGATTTCCCGGCGCGATTAGTCGGGAGAGAAACGAAGAAGGAGCAAAGTTCCTGTGAGAGATTGCTACCCTCGTCTGATATAGCGAGTAAGTAATAAGAACATTACAACCCGAACGGAAAAGTTCCCACCCGCGCGTGTTGCACTGCTCTCGATCACGCTCTCGCGTGGACCGAGAAGGGAGGACGGACGTCCACGTGTGCGTGACGCGTAGATCGCGAGAGTCGCGTTTGTTTACGGATCTGTTGCACCGACAGCACTACAGTTCTGTTCAAGTGGCTTTGATTGACCAATTCCGGCTCTCTTCCTACACAACCCTAATAGTTACATAAAGTTTACCTAAATTGCACGAATAAAAGTCAACTTCGCGCTATTTTAAATAAAAATTGAGAAAACAAATTTTCAGCTCGTTAGTTTTTAATCGTACTTCAATAAATTTCCACAGATATCGAATTGTTCTATAAACTCCGTTCTAATTTACCGAAAATTTTCTTCCTCTTTCTCTCGCTGTCAGCTATTTTAATCTTTGTGCATCTATATAAATGGAAATGTTAAATAAGGGCTTCTTGCAATATGTGCTTGACATAAAAATCTTCCTTTCATATATCTAAGAAGACATAATGCACAAATGAGATGACCCAGAATCAATATTTACGTGGAGTTTTATCGTTTCTCCTTTTTCTCGTTTTATTTATTAAATGTAATATTATATGAATATTATATATATTATCTGACTATATATTTTGGATGCATCTAGTATTACAACAGAAAAATTAGTACGAAAAACATTAAGGTTATTATCGCTAACTGGCATTAATGTAAGAAGCTGATCTATTCTAAACATGGTTCTCACGTCAGCCTCTTGATTATTGCTAACAATTGTTCCTTTTCACTTTTCTTAATGCTTTATTTGTTTATTTTATTGCTTAAAACGATTTATCAATCTCTCGCAGGCAAAAAATCGCATTTTGTTTAAGGGACTTTTTTTTTGTTCCTCTTGTACTAATCAAAATAATATTTGAATTTATGTATATTAATAGAGAGAAGGAGAACGAATGAGAGAGAGAGAGAGGAGGAAGACAGAGAGAAAAAAAGAGAGAAGGAGAAAATATCAAGACGTTCGCAAATTTATGGTGAACATGAATGAGGACAAATGTATAGAGTGGATGGATTTCCTATTTCCTATTAGAATTATCTTATAAGCTACCGTTCCACAAAGATTCTTTGAATTTTGCATTTGGCCCTCTTTTTACATATGACAAAGCATAATCATAAAGACAAAGCTCGAAAGATAAAATAGAAAATTAGTTGAAAGTCTTTTAGTTTTCGCAGAATAAAACAATGATTCCGTGTGTGCATGTGTGTGTGTGTGTGTGTGTATGTGTGAAACGCTTTTTACTCTCACACTACTTATTATAATTACAAAATACAGTACGAAAAAGCAATTTTTCAAATAATAGTTGTTAATATGCAATGTCATATATCTACATGCACCGCGTGCATGCATACAACAAAATTTATTATTAAATGAAAAGAAGAAATAAGTTAAATCGTTCTAGAAAATCTAATAAAATAAATATTAAATTATATATCCCTTTTTTACATCAATTGAATTAATGTTATAAAATTTATTATCTTATACAATTACTTATTTATATTGTTGAGTAATTAATTAAGATATGATTCATTGTTTAAAACTAATACGTGGTTTTCAGTATTGTCATTAGAAAATACATACATATACTACTTTTCCCGGAAATTTTTACTGAAAGAAATTTCATTCCTTTGGCTTGCGTCACAACGTTAAATTACGCAGAATATTTCGTTACTCTTCTAATATCATAAAATTCTTTTAATAGCATCTCTACATCTTATTTTTTTTTTAACCTTTCAATTGATTGACTCACACAAATGACGAAAAATAAATAAAAGATTTATATAGTAAGATATAGATTATCCTTTACTCACGGATATCTTTTATTGACTATACTCACTATATAGTAAATTGCAGCTCTCTAATACTATCTAAATATCTAATAGTAAATATTCTGGCCACTAAACTTCAAGATAAATTTCTATAAATTTCAATAAAGTTTAGTTAAACTAATCGATGGATATTTACATATTCTCTTGAAATTTGGTTCACAAAGATTAAAAATATTGATATTAAACAAATACATAATTATTAACGCTAACAATAAGATATTGAAATAGCTTATACTATTTCGTTTAATACAGTTTTAATTACCACTAATAAAATTATGCTCCATTATCTCTTTTCCGTAAAAAAAGATTAAAATTGAAGTATTGCATTACATGCATTATATGGAAAAAAAATTAAAAACTGAAAGGATAAGCATACGCGGCAGGTGAATAAAGATATTATTTCGTACGATATTATGTGAACGTGAAATCCATATATACGCAAGAAAATGTCCGTACATTGCAATATGTGAAACATGAATAGGTATACCAACGTATTTTTAAAAACGTATACATAATATGTCGTATACATAATTAATATAATTAAAGTTGAAGAAATGTGATAAACAAGGTCTGTTAACGTTCTCGCTGAAAAAATTTCCAAATTTGCTATTTTAAATAATAAAAGAAATAATTTTGTGGAATATTCTGTATAATGTATAATGTTTTATGAAAACAGCTAAATTCTTTCATGACCAACTATCATGCATTATTTATTAATTAACTGTTAACATAAAAGAAGCAATTGCATTACATTTGATGAACACGCTAACGATAACAATTTTTTTAAGAGTTAGTTATAAATTTTGAAATAGCTGAAACAAGTTCCATCTATAATAACATCATATCTTCACTAATTTATTAAAGTATCCATGTCTAGCGGTGTTTATCTCGTTAAAGAAGTTTTCGTAATTCCGACATCTGATTAAGAAGAAAGATATTTCTAAGAACTCGAAACTTTCGAGATCAAAAAATGAGAGACCAGATTACGTTAAATCACGAATGAAGTTTGTGTTAACAGATGCGAAATAACATTTCGTACACTGTTAAAGGTTAGAGGGTGAAATTTAAACCAATACCATGAGTTAGATTTATTTTGTTATTTTTAACTACCACTTGTGCGTCACAATTTATTAGTTTGAAACAAAATAGGATTATTTTAACTCCATTGGTTTAATCAAATTAACATTGTTTTAGTTAAATTAACTACATATTGAGTAGGAGCAGTGGCGACCTATGGAATAGTTAAAAATTACTCAAAATTGAGTTTAATTTAACCCTATGAATTTAACAGTGTATTTATTTTACCATTATGTATGTGTATTGTGAGCAGAACATGATAATATTATCGATATTATTATGTATTCATTTTACGGTCGTTTCTCTAATTCACCAATGCGAGCAAGCCGTGTTATATCATCAATTTCTACTTGCAAATTAATGATTTTGCTCCCTGCAAAAGTCATTAATACAAATTACCATTCTCATTTCAATACATGTAACAAGTAGCGATATAAAAAGAGACAATAGAGAAGAAAATTTTAAAATAATATATCGACCATCGATTTTCTTTTCATAAAATGAGATGTAATATTTGTAATCGTGAAAATAATGTAATGTAAACAGTGTCAGAGAGAAAAAGGATTCTTTCATCTCGATTGAACTTCGTCTCAAACCGAACACTTGACTTCTCACATCCAATTCGCTATTATCCCTAATCACTCGATCTTCCGGGACGTATAAATTCTGACCTTGTTAAAACTAAATTAACCCTGAATCAAGATAATCTCGATGCTTCTATACATTTCGCATCTTTCCTTCGCGCGAAGAGATTTTCATATCAAGCGACATCGCTGCAAATCCAAGTGTGTTGTTTTAAGGACGTTCTCTCGTCCTTATACTAGAGAATATCGATTTTCTTAGGAATTTCTTGAAACTGTGAATATACGTTAATTTAGGTGTGCTTTATGCGTGGTATAAATTTCAGTACCTCTTCCGGTATAAAAAATCAAGATACTGAGCCTCAAAATTTCAACTTTTACTAATAAAAAGGTTTTCCAGGCCAAACGGTAAAAGATATGAGGTTGGCCAAGAGGACCAAAGTTGCTCCTCTCGTCGAGTTCTATAAGGAAAAAATGCCAAAACTAAAAAAAATTAAATTAAAAAAATTTTTTTTGAAACTTTGAGGCTCAGTATCTTTATTTTTTATACCGGAAGAGGTATTGAAATTTATACCACGCATAAAACACACCTAAATTAACGTATATTCACAGTTTCAAGAAAATCTTAAGAAAATCGATTTTCTCTAGTATATAAGAACGAGAGAACGTCCTTAACTGAAGCTCTTCTTGCACATCATTTCTTGCCGTTTTAAATCACGTCATTTAACATGGTTGAACGTATTAACTTTTAATTTAATACGATTAAACGTGTCAATTTAACACGTAACAAAACATGTAAAACGAGCTTTAGTCAAATATGTTATTTCTAGACATATGCGCGTGTAGAAATAACACACTTTTGGATCTACAATGATATTTTCGAATGTTACGCAAAAGTCAAATCATTCACTCTTCACCAAAAGAACCAAAAGAACCTTGCTTGACATTTCGCCACGGTGACAGGTAATATAACGTAATTTATTGATGATTGAAGAAGCGTTCGATCGGTATCGCGTGAGACATTATTCGACTTTAACGTCAATTTTACTGTCACATCCTAATGTCGCTGCGTCCTACGTCTATTAATAATAGAAAAAGTAAGCTTATTACCGCTAAACGGCGCAGCCAATTTCTTAATAATTTCCTGAATTTGTGATAAAGGGGCAATAACCATTCCACTCTCAAATTAGGAATGGAACGTACATCCTTTTGTTATATCTTCTCAACGCCGCATTTGCTTTTCCGTAACAAATTCGTCCTAGACAGCTTTTGCCGTATTTATTTCGCTTAGACGCGTAATTATACCCGCGTCACCGCTTCGCAGGAATCTCTCTCTCTCTCTTCATTCTTCCCAGCCATATACTCGGAAATATAATCCGCTCGGTGAACATTGCAGGCTCGATTACGCAACATTATTATGCGGTGGCGACGAATTGCGAATCAG